GAGAGAGAGAGAGAGGGGTCATGGTGGTGTCATATTGATCCCTATGCCTTACTTAAACCTTTTTTAATAATAATAAAAAAAATTAAAGTACAGTATTGCCCTTATTTAAGGAAAAAGATGAATGTCTGTATGGAAGGTGAAATGAGAAATGTCACTGGGAAATTAAATACAAGAAAATAAACATAAATTTTGGTATTAAAAAAATAAACTTTGGTATTCACATTACTTTCTTTCTTTTTAAATGTTCATACAGTGGTTATACCGTTTTGATGCTATGAATTTCTAGTGGTTTACTTGCGATAATGACGAGAATGCTGCCTGAGAACTTTAGTTTATCCCAAGATATTTGCGAAATATCGGCATGAATATATTCTAGAACTTATTTTCCCCTATTGGATATCTAGCTGAAGCCAATGCTTTGTTTAGGACAAGCTATCCATCTCCTTGGAGAGTTTGATAAGGTGCTATTGCATTGTTGTGTCTGGCTTGAACTTCCTCTTCTAAAGCTGCGGAAGGATTATGCCCCACTTGACATCCTTTATGCTCAGTCAATACTAGATTCCATGAGACATGAGTGACTATATAGACTTATACCATTTGATTTGAGAAAGAACTTCACTAAAACTTTGGGAAATTGAAGGAGTACGCACGATGGACCGGGTTCTACCATTTCAGGGCCCAATTATACTCAATAGAAGAGTTTGATCCTTGCTTATAACGAACACTAGCTCAATGCTTACCCATGTAAGTCAAACGTTATTTCCAGGGAGTTGGGCAGAAGGATAAGAGGCTCCAAGCTAACTAAAGGTAGCTTGTCTCCCCCTAATAGTGGTGGCCAGTGTAGTCAATGAGCAAAGCCAGTGGTAGCAACACATGAACAAAGCTCTCTAAACTATTGGAAGCCTTTGCTACACAAGCCAGTGGTAGCAACTTCCAATTGTTTAGGGCGCGCTTTATTTGCAACAGAAAAGCAATCACTTTTGAGGGATTTGCAACTTTTAATTGTTGATGATTTTTTTTATTTGCAGCTTAAGAAAAACATTTGCCGAAGAGTGCTTTGACGTTGTAAAGCCCTCTTCAACACATAGACATTACCTTCAGGAGGTGGGAACAGTTGAGAACAAAGCGGTGAACATGTGCATAACATGTGGGAGTCTGCCGAACACTTCGAGCCAAATCTTGAAGAAAGCTAGAAGTGTTGTTTGATGAACTTCCATAGTAGTAGGTAGTTGGTAAGGTAAAGGCTGACCATGCCAATGATGCTTAGCAGCAGGGAATCTTGGACAACGGGTGAAGCCTGATCCAACAATATCGCTTGAGTGAGGAAGGGCAATGATGCTTGTAAAGCCCTTTTATCGAGCGAGCATTCATGATAGTATTTGAGGAAGGAGACCCAGCTAACTCCGTGCCGGCAGCCACAGTGAGATCTGGTCCCTGAGGGGGGGGGAGGGGGAAGCGATGTGTAATTTATTTTTCAGAATGATTGGGCGTAAAGGGCACTTAGGCGGTGAATTGGGTTGCAAGTGAAAGTCGCTAAAAAGTGGTGGAATGCTCTCGAAACCAATGAACTTGATTGATATATAGGAGAGTGGAATTTCGTGTGTTGGGGTGAAATCACCCTAAAAAGAGTCTTTATGTAGGTGGCTAGGTGCAAAGCAGTTGGTTGAGTGTGGAGCATATAGGTAACATGACGAGACAAATATTTTGCTGACCTGCACATTGAGAAGGAATATGTTTAGTGACTTGACTCATGGACTTGTGTGCAAATGCGTGCTTGCTCTCTGAAAATGCAAAATAAAATACATGCATTGGTTGCGGTATGCAACTATACATGAATTTGTGCTTTGTGTGCATGGGTGCACTTGTGTGTGTGTGTGTCCGTGCATGTGAGCATCAATATGAATGCATGCTGTAGGCTTATCTATGCTTGTGTACCTTTTATTGTATAGGTCATCTTAGTCTTTCAGGTTTCTGGTTGTGGTCATGATCAGAGTGTTGCAGACATTTTCGTTCGTTGCTTTATGCAATACTGGTATGCATATGTCGTTGCCAATGAGTTAACTCTTGATATATAGGAGATAATGCAAATTTTGAATTGCTTATTACAATGGCTCTGCAAAGCATCTTACTTTTATTAAGCAGTCAAGAAACAACATATCTATAGAATGAGTGTAGTTGAGATGAGGATGTTGAGATAGATGAGTTGCAGGACAAGAAATCATAGAATTTGGAATGAATACATTTGAGGGAACTTAGGGGTAGCTCCAACAGATGATAAGATGAGGGAAAGTAGACCTAGGTGGTTTGACTATGTGCAGTGTCAGCCTAAAACAACACTAATTAGAAGTGGTAATTTGGTTCAAGTGGAATGCTGTAAAAGAGCAAGCGATAGGCCTAAAAAGACGGGGATGGAAGTAGTGAGAAGAGATATGGTGACTTATGGTCTGACTGAGGGTATGACCCTTGATAGAGTGGAATGCGTAGCAGGATTAGTGTAGCGAACCCTAAATAGTTGGGATAAGGTTTGCAGGAGGATGATGATGATGATGGTCTTACTTTTGTCATGGTCCTCCTAGATGCTATATTGCTTTCAAGCATAATGTTGTTCTGAGGCATGAGTTCATGTTTTACATTTTTGTGCGAAGTTAGCAACTCATGTTCCCTTGTGGATTCATTTTTTTTGATGATTGACCACGTTCTGTTTCTGTTCTTTTAGTTTGTCTTTTCCATCATTAATTTTTTCGCTTCTTTGGTGAGTTATGTTTAATATATGTACTTGCTTTGAAATTGAACTGCAGGTAACATGTGAACCTCTGTCAGAGCTTGTGAAGAAGCACTTTGTACCAATATTCGCGGCTTGCATGACTTTTCATTGCAGTAATAAGTCAAGCAATAGCCATGCTATCAAAGTGCTTCAGAGTTCAATTTTGCACATTGCAGATATCTCTGAGCATGAGCGAGATAACCTCATAAAGACGAACACGGTTGGTGATTTGTTTGTTCTTTTTGCTTCTTTAGGCATACATTTGGAAAGCTAGCCTTGATATCTTGACTTTGTTTTGTGATATGTGACGCTTTTGTCTTGACCTATTGTCGTATTTTATAAGTTGGTAATCCTGAGTAGGTTGAATTATGAATGATGGTTGCCTGTTGAGCCAATGAATGAATCTGACTTCGCTAGTTGAATAACAGAGCTATGTGGTGAAAGATTTGGGATAATTTTTGATGGTTTGCACAATTGTATCTTTCTAAACAAAATTGTTTGCTCATTTTTACATATATCATTATGTTTTAATTATATCGTGTCCTACAAATGATGCTGACATGATATAGCTGGTAACTATATCTTTTCAACTAGTTTAGCTGAAAGTGAGTTCATACAGAGCTGGAAATGCATACAACATCAGAGAGGAAGGTGGATATGGGAGAACAGCGAAGAAAGGTGAGGTTGAGAAGAGATAGGTGTGTCTCAGGGGCTATGACTTGCCGATATGTTGATATTTGAGGGTCACTCTTCCCCCTACTGAGGCTATTGGCAATTCCATTAGCCTCTCCGTGTACATTTTGAAAGTAACTAATAGACTGCGTATATCCGAATAAGGAAATCAAGAAAGTGTGAAAGTCTTATGGTAGATGCCTTTCATTATTTCAATATGCTATGTCTTGTGTTTTTGTTTTTTAAAATTATAATGCTATAGATTTGATGCTGAACCACAACTCTTGTTGTTCAACATGGGCCAGAAGAAGTTTTGAGCCATAATTATTGGTCTATGCAGTATCTCATGATGGGTGACAAGGCAACTTACCGGTTTTCATCTTTCTTTTATTGGATAAGTAAAAAGTGTTGGTCAACTTGGTTTTTATTGACAAACTTCAGGGGTTTGATCTCTTGAGCTCTGTTATGCAAGCTGGATGGCTGCCACTATGCCGAAGTCCACAGGATGTTTAAGAATCAATGTCACTTCTGTTCCATGTGATTAATAACAGGAAGTCCTGTGTCATAATAACTAACAGTTAATATGTTAGTTAATATCATGCGTGGCAATTATAGATTAGTTATGAAGTCTATGGCCATTGTGAGCTAAGGAGACCCTTTTGAAGTGGTTTCATGCATATTTTTGAAATGTGAAATCAATATACTTCAAGAAAACCATGCTGAAACCTTGCAGATGTATAACATAACATATTGTACATTTCATGGAATAGTCGCAATGAGTGACCAAATTATGTATGAAGAGAGTAAAAATATCAAATGTTCTAGGGCTGAATTTCCCATGCATGATAAACATTTGTGCATATTATTTATACATGTGTTGTCAAATAAGGAGGTATGCTATGAAATTCATGATCCATGATTTCACCAGAATACCAGATAGCAAAGTGTCCAGCATAGTCGGGTTGAAAAATCTTTGGACCATTTGACAGTGCTGACATATACAATCACTTTTTCTGTCTTTGGAAAAGCTACTCATAACTTGCTCAAATGTTGATGTTTGAAGTTCTGCTTGCAGTTTTGAATTTTGATGGAACATGGGAGACTGGTGAATTTATGCTTTTGATTAGTGTTGGCAAAGCTGGTAACTGCACAGATTTTTACATAGTGTCTTGAGAAACTCACTGCTTGGAAAAAGTTGTATTCCCTTGACCTAAGATGTTCTAGAAACTGGTAATGGGGTCAAAGGTTCAACATTTGGGTGTAGATCAGAAAAATTCAAGAACCACAGTTTCCTCTTGTGTGGTCATGTTTGAGTGTAGGATTTTTGTTTTTTAACTACTAGAACAAGATGAATACAAACCATATAACTTTTGCACAGAACCCTAACGTTGTGCTTTACCCCTTGCATCTGCTTCATAAAACCTTTTAAGTGGTGATTCGTGAGTGACTCTATATATGAATCTATAGAACTAATCAGCACTAATAACATGCGTACTAGTTATCCACATCAGCACAGTGTTTATGGGCAAATATCAATCGTTTAAAACTTGGCTCAGGCTAGGGACTGGGGCTCTGCCCTTGCCGTGTTACTCAGGCCAGTTCGAGGGGACTCGCTTGAGCTAGAGCTGAAACAAGGGCCAAAAAATAAAAAAAGAAAAAAATACAAAAAGTTGGGTGAAATTTGACATAATAGAAAAATCATAAAAATCCAAAAAGAAAAAAAAAAAAATCAGAAATTGTATATAAAACATGAAAGAAACAAATGGTGTTCTTGGGTTTTAAAATAATAAAAATTATGAAGAAAAATGAGAAGTAGAACAAGGAGAATAAAATCTTAGAAATTATCTGTAACTTAATATATATAGTCGTGGGAGGCGAAGGCACACAGGGGATAGG